GACTGGCTGCGTCCAGTGCGTCTTGCAACTGGTGTGACAGTTGTCGAGCGCGTTCACTTATGGAATGATCGGGCGCGTTGGAATAATATCACCTGTCGGGGGGCGCACCTAAGTGGCCCTTGAGGAACTATATCTAGTTGGGCACGTGCGTTGGCTCGCGTGCGTGTCCGAACGTGTGAATGTGTGTGGTCCAGTGGTTCAAGATTATTGCGTGGGGACAGTCACAGTGAAGACGCAAGACTTTGCGGCAGACCGCATTGACAAAGGAATCATTTGGCAATCGGTCACAGGCACCGTGCCTCAGGACAGTCTGCAAGGTTATGCTGGCATTCGGTTGGGCTAGGCTCCTAACAGAATGTTCATCAACTAGTGTCATGATCTCCCGATCTAAACCGACAAGACGAAGAGCCGGTGGCTCAAAGGTTAGGGCGGTAGATTTTTATTTAAAATGTCGCGGGTTCGAGACTCGAATGGGGCACCACTTGGAGTTGGCTACTACTGGGTGACGACGGGTAGTGAGCCATAAAGCTGCGTTTACAATCTCCATTGTCTTTGCCAGCAAAGTAATCTATAAATATTGTGTCAGTGTTACAAAGTAATCGAGTGAGGTAATGCGTTGGCCGCATAAAAGTATATCATTTGACGGTAAGAATAGCTCTTTACTACGAGAAAAAACGATTTCTGAGCTGAATAAAATACTTCCATCTTTTATGTATCGGTATCAATATCGGCAAATGACAGTGTTTTTAATGCTTCTCCTTATCATTAGTGTTCTTGTAAATAGTTCCGACCCGTCAAGCTGTTTGCATTCTGTTCTAGTCGGTATGATGAGTATTTAATTTGTAGGTGATTCCCCGAGAGCTTAAGTTTTCCTTAGCAGACTGAAAAGCATCTGAACCGCCGTCGACGGTAGTTTTTAGGTGAGAGTAAGTCATATTGCGTTACATATACTTAAATATCTACTATATGCGTTTCAGTAGGCGTAGTTATGCCTATTTATTTTATTTCAATCAATTTTCCCTCAACGCCCTCATTCTGCTCCTAGGCCTGTAAAAAGAATCGGGCACATCACTTGGAAAACCTCATCATGTACGGTGCTGATCTTAACGCCCGCACAAAGAAAGGTAACACTCCCCTGCACATCTGCGTCACGAACGAGGCGGACCTCTGTCTACATCTCCTTCTGGTGCGCGGCGCCGATCCCACCCTGACCAATGAGCAGGGGCAAACCCCACTGGAGTACTGCGTTCTGACCAATAGGAATGCGCTCGTCCAAATATTCAACGACTTCAAGCCGGAAGACGTAGGTAAATCAGTTTTT